AAACTGGTCCTGCGGAGCAAACATTTCGACACGTGTCCATTTGGCACCAGGCTTTTTTTTACGGGGCAAAAAAAACATAATACCCCTAGGGGAACAGGACACATTTCGGTAGGGATCAACCCTAAACACCGGGCGGGTTCCCGTGTTTAGGGTTGATCCCTCCAGAAAAAAAAGTCCTGGTTTCCCTAGGGTTTTATGTTTTCTGCCTCGTCAAAAAATCCAGCTGTGAACTGGACACGTGTCGAAAGGTTACGGCATGTTGCAATTCGCGGTGCACTGCATCGGCTCGGCTCGTGGCACGGGGTTAGGAAGGCTGCATGAACGCAAGAGGCCATAAAATGTTTACAGAAAACGCGCAAGCACATTTCATGTCCTAACATAGCCTTAGCAAATAACTCTTTGAATCACTATCTTGAAACTTTTCTTTCCCGAATCGTTACTCGTGTTTGGCCTCCCGCCTGCCTGGAGCCTTCCAAACGTCCTGAGCCGATGCAGTGCACCGAAAATTGCAACACGCCGTTAGCCCCGCAGTACCAGTTTTGAACATAATTGTCAAATGTTATTATAAGTTCTTAGGCTACAGTGAGTAGCACTACAGGGAGTACAACACTTTTAGGGTTGCTATTTGTATCCCTTGTTTCCCTAGTTCACACATTCCGTTGTTCGCTAACTTTGAGATGGTATCATGAGTAGGTGTCGATCCTCTCGCCTAGCCTAGCCTAGCTCGCGCCCTCCGCGCCCTCCGCGCCATCCGCGCCCTCCGCGCCTTAGCCTCCGCGCCCTCCGCGCCATCTCCGCGCCTTAGCGCCCTCCTCCTCCGTGCGTTAGCGCCCTCAGCGCCCCTAGCATGCGCCCCTAGCTCGTCGCCCATGCGCCCGCCCTAGCCCGACGCCCAGGCGCCCGCCCTAGCCCGTCGCCCAGGCGCCCGCCCTAGCCCGACGCCCAGGCGCCCGCCCTAGCCCGTCGCCCAGGCGCCCGCCCTAGCCCGTCGCCCAGGCGCCCGCCCTAGCCCGTCGCCCAAGCGCTCGCCCTAGCCCGTCGCCCAGGCGCCCGCACCAGCCCGTCGCCCAGGCGCCCGCCCCAGCCCGTCGCCCAGGCGCCCGCCCCAGCCCGTCGCCCAGGCGCCCGCCCTAGCCCGTCGCCCAGGCGCCCGCCCTAGCCCGTCGCCCAGGCCCACGCCGTAGCCCGTCGCCCAGGCCCGCGCCCTAGCCTGTCGACCAGGCGCCCGCCCTAGCCCGTCGCCCAGGCGCCCGCCTTAGCCCGTCGCCCCAGCCCGCGCCCTGGCCCGTCGCCCCAGCCCCGCAGGCAGCGCGCCGCGCGGGTAGCGCGCCCCGCGGGTAGCGCGCCCCGCAGGCAGCACACCCTGCAGGCAGCGCGCCCCGGAGCGCTTTAGCGCCAGAAAATAAATAAATAACTAAAATTAAACCCTAAAAAAAAAAAAAAAAAAAGGGGGGGGGGGTTTAGGGTGGGGGCCTGCAACTGTCGCCCGCGTTCCTGCTTGCCGGACGACCTGCACAGTTGCCTGCATCCCGCAGCCGTCAGTACTGCAGCCCCTACTTTCGCACGTATGTTCCACTGCCAATGGCTCTACTAGCGGCAGCCGACAGCCGCACTTACGGTCTCTAGCTCCGGCCGTTCCTACCTCCAGCCAGCCCTAGCTCGCCGTTTCTAGCTCCAGCCGGTTGTGCTCCAGCCGTTCTAGCTCCAGCCGTTCTCGCTCCAGCCGTTCTCGCTCCTCGCTCGTAGCTCTGTTTGCTCTGTGCTCCAGCAGTTACTCGCCTAGTTTCACCTGGCGCTCCTAGTTGTTCTCGTTTTTCACTGCAGCCGTCCCTAGCTCCTGCCGCTCCTAGCCTGCCGCTCCTGCACCCCGCTAGCTTTTATCATGGAGTCCACTAGGGTTCTCCAGCAGTAGGGACAGCAGCAGCGGCCGTTTCAGCAGTGGCTTCCGCAGCAGCAGGGGCGCCCTCAGCAGCTGTGGCGCCCTCAGCAGCCGTGGGGGCCTGGTGGTTCAGGTCGCGTTGGCTGCAGCAGCGGCCCAGCCAGCTGGGGGGCTCGTCGCGGTGGCCGCGACGTCGGCCCTTGCCAGTACCGGATCCTGACCGGCCCTGGTGCTGGCACTACCTACTGGCGTCCTGACCACTCTGCACAGCGCTGCTACAGCCGCCTCGACGACCTTTACCGTGAGCGTTTTGGGCCTGAGTCGGCTCCCCCGATCTGGCCCGGTCTGTTTCGTAGTTGTTACCCTGTGTTTGATATGTCTATGGATGTTGTTTACTCTGTCACGTACGGATCTCTTGGCTTACGTGTACCTAGCTTAGGACCTTTGCCTGTTGCTAGTGTCGGTACTTGTGCTTTTAGTGTAGGTGCTTGTGTAGTCACTAGCCCGGTCGTGACGACTGCTGTTGCGTCGCTCTCCTTCACGCTGGACTCCGGCGCGTCTCAGTGCTTCTTTCGCGACCACATCACTGTCACACCTCTTTCGGCTCCAGTCCCAGTTGCCCTGGCTGATCCTAAATCAGGACCAGCAGTTGCTCGCAGCTCGACCACCCTCCCGTGCCCAGCTGTCTCCTCTGGTTTCCTCACTGGTCTCTACATCCCCTCGTTCTCTCGGAACTTGGTGGGTGTTGGATACCTTCAGGACCGGGGGATCACAGTCACTTTTCCAGCGCATGGGAGGACTGCGATCTGTACGGACTCTTCCACCGGGGCAGTTCTTGCCACGTTCACCAGAGAGCCCCACTCAGGTCTCTTCGTCCTGCACACTCCGCCCCCGCAGGTAGCTGCGTCTGGTCAGGTTGCTTCGTCCCCCCCGGTAGCAGAGTCCGGTCAGGTTACTGCGTCCCCTCAGGTTGCTGTGTCCGGTCAGGTTGCTGTGTCCGGTCTAGTTGCTGCGCCTTGCTCGTGTCGGTCTTTCACCCACCGGACCGTCTTGTGGCACCACCGTATTGGCCACGCGTCGATCCCCCGCCTCTGCACTATGGCTAATCACCGTCTTGTCTCAGGTCTCCCTCGCGTCTTCCCGTCGCTCCCTCCCTCGCCTGCGTCGCCGTGCACTCCTTGCGTCGCCGGCCGTCTTCGTGCCACTCCGCACTCCTCCTCCCTTCGTCCGGCCACTGCTCCCTTCCAGACACTCCACTTGGATGTCTGGGGCCCTGCACCTACGCAGGGACCTGAGAGGGAGCGCTACTTTCTGGTGGTCATCGACGACTTCTCCAGGTACACCACGGTGTTTCCTCTCGCGAAGAAGTCCGAGGTGACTTCTACGCTGATCCGGTGGCTTCTAGCCACTGAGGGCACTCGTGGCCGTCGTGTCTCCTGTCTCCACTCTGACCGTGGGGGTGAGTTTCGCTTAGGCATTCTTGCCGGATTCTGCGGCGAGCAGGGCATCGTACAGTCATGGACGCTGCCGGAGTCCCCACAGAAGAATGGGGTTGCTGAGCGCCGCATTGGCTTGGTCATGGACATCGCCCGCACGTCCATGATTCATGCCCGTGCGCCCCATTTTCTGTGGCCCTACGCGGTTCGCTACGCCGCTCACCAGCTGAACCTCCAGCCGCGCGTCTTGCGACCAGAGGCTTCACCGACCAGTCTTTGGACCGGGTCTCCTGGTGTTGGGTCAGCTTTTCGTGTCTGGGGTTGCCTTGCGCTTGTCCGCGACACCTCTGCGGACAAGCTCTCGGCCCGCGCCGTCCCCTGTGTCTTCCTTGGTTTCCCGGTAGCCTCGGCCGACTGGTCCTTTTACTACCCGCCCCTCCACCAGTTCCTAGACTCCCGTGACGTCCGGTTCGACGAGTCAGTGTCCTACTACACCCGGTACCCCTGTCGAGGTCTCCCGGTTCCCCTTCCCCCCCTTTTCCTCGCACCCTCTCTTCCCCCTGCTCCCGCTCCTCCGGTACCCCCACCCCCCCCTGGTCCTGCCCTGTCAGGTGTGTCTCACGCTACCCCTCTACCCTCGGTCGCGCGTCAGGTAGCGGCTCCCTCCCCGCAGTCCTCCTCACAGTCCCCTCAGCAACCTTCGGTACTTCCGCGACAGGCTACTGTGGACTCGGTTGGTTTTGGAGCCGGAGGTGCAGCCACTGGCGGTACTCGGTCCGGGGGTGCTCGTTTGAGGGGTGCTGGAGTTGGAGGTGCTGGCGCAGGTGGCGCTAGCCCTGGGGTTGATGGAGCTGGAGGTCCTGGCACTGGAGGTGCTAGTCCTGGGGGTGCTGGAGCTGGAGGTGCTGGCGCAGGTGGCGCTAGCTCTGGGGGTGCTGGAGCTGGAGGTGCTGGCACTGGAGGTGCTAGTTCTGGGGGTGCTGGAGTTGGAGGTCCTGGCACTGGCGGTACTAGTTCTGGGGGTGCTGGAGCTGGAGGTGCTGGCACAGGAGGTGCTGGTTCTAGGGGTGCTGGTCCTGGGGGTGCTGGTTCTGGGGGTGCTGGTGCTGGAGGCGCTGGCACGGGAGGTGCTGGTTCTGAGGAGACTGGAGCTGGAGACACTGGTTCTGCGGAGTCCACTCCGCCTCCCCACCGCCACAACACACGTCTCCAGGTGGCCCGTCGGCGTGAGCGTGACGAGCAGGTGCTGTTGGAGAGGGAGCGGCAGGAGTTTCGGCAGTTGGACCTGCTAGAGCAGCAGCAGCAGCAGCAGCAGCAGCAGCAGTAGCAGCAG